ATGAAAATATTTCATAAACTCGTCCAAACTTTCATTCCATCTTGAACAAATAGATGTAGTTGGAAGGCAAAACTCATATTAGACGGGAACTTATCAAATAAAACTGGAAAGTTTAGATTTGGACGAACATTGGAATGACAATTTATAAATACGAAGGACTTTTTTTTTATAGAATGTTTTTTCAACTTTCATTTCTCGTGGGAATTTTTCTGTTGAGTTGTTGAAGTTGACCTCTTGTAGTGCATGGTTTGTCGATGTTGAATATTTAGTGTGATTGCAAGTATGTTGTTGTAGGTTGAAGTCGGGATTGACTTCGTTTGAGATCATGTATATGTTTTGAAGAGAGTCATATTGTGAATGTGAGAGTGATCGTCTTGTGTCCTATAACCCCGTTGTATTTATATTTTGTGTGGTGGTGCGGTCTACTGTAGCCGTGCGTAAAGATTGAATAGAGTTGCGTTGAGAAAAAAAAAATATCCCTTTTATTTTATTTTATTTTTAATTTATTTTTAGTTGGACGTTGAGGTCCGTGGCGGCTAACAAAGTTAAACCCCTTGACGTGTTTTCATGCCTTTGAAGATGGAGCCTTGATTTCAGGGTCAAAGGCGTTTGACTGCCACTAAAGCTCGAGGCCCGCGTACCACTCCTCTCCACAATATGCAAAAGAGGGTATGTCTTGTAATCGCACTTGTGATTGTCTAGCATCGAGAGATTAACCTCTCAAGACGTATGCTAGTCAACACTTGAGTGTCAAAAACGAACCTCAAAATCATTGAGGACCGCATGGTTATAGGTACCACATAGTACGTCATCCTCGTGGCTACCCGTGCAACTATGCATGTCTAGTCAAATGTGACAAGGCCTACATCGTGGTGATATTTATTCAAAATCTCGCGTGCGACATTTATCTATTTTCTATTGTCGAAAGGTTATGCCAGTGCGTAGGATACGAAAAATGGACTAGGCGTGACATGTGTGTGAAACTTAGTCTTATTTTTGCTAAGTGTATCTCGTGGATAGATGGATCGTCTTAGTCGACATGCGTTAGATGTATCGTGTCGATAAAGGCGTTCGACCATGCGAACCCCCTATGCTACAGCGTACGAAAAAACGCCATCGATTGTGCCACCTATGCGATTGCAGTCGAGCAGCTTTCGCATGTGGTTCGGTAGCTCAATGAGAATTTGTATGTCCAAAGGTGGTGACAACCCCTTGGGCAGAGGTACAATTATGTCTCCCGTGACCCCTATCCTGTCGTGGGGGTTCGTGAGAGGTGCGGTTGGCGCACTCGGCGGAAACACTGGAAGCTCCACTCCAATAAAAGTCCTGCATGACGCAGCCGGGAGGGTCCCCCTGCGGGACCGATGCGCTCAATAGCATTTGCCAAAAAAAAAAAAAAAAAAAAAAAAAGAGTTTGTTCCAATTAGTTTCTTTATAGGTGTGCAAGGAAATCAACATGGGGGTAAAAAGGCTCTGAGGTACTAGTATGATGAGCAAGTTGTTGGCATTGGGCAAACATTTTTACCCCTCCGTACTTATTCGTCTATTTAAAGGGGGACTATGCTACTTTTGATGTTTTTTCTTTTTAAATTTCTATGCGTTCTACAAGTTTTTTTGATGAGGTATATATGAAATTTTTGACATGTGAATTTTCGAGTTAGTTAATCTTCTTGAATTTTGGCTTTGGTGAAATTTTGAGATATGTCAACGGAATTAGTTGATACTTCATCCTTAACATAAACGACATAGGAATCAGTGTAGGATTTTCGTGCGTTTTGGTGAGTGCGCATGAATGTTTTTTGAACTTTTCAATTTTGAATTTGTCATAGGAATTAGGCGCTACTTTCACTGGTACTTTACATAACTATTTTTGCGTGTTTTATATTTTTTCAAATTCACGTTCTCTGTGCATATATTTGCATACAATCTTTTGAAAGCCCTTCATCATTTTTTTTTCGGCCCTTTCGTAACGATACCCCTCCCTTCTCTCTCTTGATCTTGTTGGACCTTGGTGAATGCCCACATCATCTTTTGTAACTTTTTTTTTCGTATTTACTTCAACCTCAAGAATATCTTGGTGAGTCGACGTGGCTATAGAAATCGGATCACTGCGTGAGGATTGATTCGATATATCACGTTGTGGTTTGACCAAATATGAATGTCATCTCCGATATCACAATAGACTCCCTAACCTCCTTTCCCTTCCTTCCCTTCCATGCATCCTTCCTCCCGCATCTCCGCAATTATGAATCTCGCAAGCGCGTTCTCCTTCCACACTCTTACTACATCCTTCATCTTGCATTAGGCAACGGATAGCGGTGGTAGTAAGCGGGTCTGACAGTCTCGACGGGTCGGTAGCAACATTGTTGCATCATGTCAGATTGTTTCACGATTTGCAAGTCTTGAGCAGATCCGTGAGAAGTTAGATTGGCGGAGTGATGATCACTCACAGTAGTCACTAGGTATGCGATGATAAGTTGTCAGTGCTCAACCGATGGTGCTGCAACGGTAGATGTTGGTGGCGGTGCCACATGTGTGAGATCAGGGAGATTCGCTTCCCCAAGTTGTTTATGTATAATCATTGAGTTGTGATTGTGAATGGCGTGGACGTCGTTTCTTCTCTTTAATCGCGTTGATCTCTGACTCCCAAGTTGCTTTGATCTTATCTTTTTATGAGTTTCATAAACGTGTTTGTGTATAATCACCCCTCAGAGTCTTGAGTGAATGCACAACATTGTTGGTGACTTTTCTCATAGATGATCTTTATACTTATTTTTGAATGAGAAAACATGTAAAATCGGTATGTAGAGTTTTGTTTACCGAGTGAATCAATGACTATGTGTACATTAAACTGTCGTTGCCTCCTCCGCTTGCAAAGATGCAGGTAACAAATAATCATTATTTCGTAAGCGAATGTGTGTTCCGTGGTTTTTATTATTATATCATGTTTTCATTATTTTATTTTTTCCAATAATACTTTTGGTCAATGTACCACTCTTATGTGAATAAATTCTTTCCTTTCCTTTTGCCTTATATGGATGTCTTATTTTACGTCAAGTATGATTTTGCTTCTGATAGTTATACACATATATTTTGAACTAAGACAAACAATTATTATTTTTTTATAACGAATTATACGATAGGGTTTTCATATTCGCTCAAATTTTATATCGATAGGTGTGGCAAATGTGCCCAATATTCTAAAATTGATTCAAGTCCCCCCACTAATTTTTCATATAACGAGCATCGACACCATGTTTATAACTGAGATGTAAGCAAAACTACAAATATTTCAACCGTATAAGTACCCTAACAATTTGAGGTATCATGATTTCTACTTTCGTTCATTATGAATTTGTGATATAAGCTACGTTGTTTATCATTTCCGACCGGATTAAGTGACCGGAATATCGAGCCGCTTTATCCGGCATATGGTTTATCCGGAATTCTGCATAATCCGAAAAATGCTCGGAATTTTTTTTTTTTTTTTTTTTTTTTTTGCTTACATAGGATTACCACATGTTCAAATCTGGGAGTCTTTTGTGAAAAACATATTGAATATCCATTATAGCGTCCCCCTTTCGATTGGATAACGATTTTGTTTTTCTGTTTGTTTGTTTGATTGATCGATCGATCGATCGATTGATTGATTGATTGATTGATCGATTGATTGATCGATTGATTGATTGATTGATTGATTGATTGATTGATTGATTGATTGATTGAGGAAACAAAAAGAAAAAATGGGTTAGGGAGCTGGGCGGCGGGTGAGAGGGGGTTGAGGTGAGACAATTTGCCTCTTACTCCCCTAACTCGACGCCCTCCCCCCCCCCTGACCCCCCCTTTGTCCTCCTCTTTCTTGTCCTTCTCCTACCTCCTACTCTCCTCCTCCTTCGCCTCTTCTTCGTCCTCCTCCCTCTTATCCTCCTGCTCCTATTTTTCCTCCCCCTCTTCTTCCTCCTCCTCCTCCTCTTCCTCCTCCTCCTCTTCTTCTTCCTCCTCCTCCTACTTCTCCTCCTCCTCCTCTCCTCCTCCTCCTGCTCTTCATTCTCCTCCTCCTTTTCTTTGTCCTCCTCCTCTTCCTCCTCCTCCTCTTCTTCTTCCTCCTCCTCCTACTTCTCCTCCTCCTCCTCTTCCTCCTCCTCCTCCTCTTCTTCTTCCTCCTCCTACTTCTCCTCCTCCTCCTTCTTCCCTCCTCCTCTTTCTCCTCCTCTTCTTCGCCCTCTTCCTCCTCTTCCTCCTCTTCCTCCTCCTCCTCGTCTTGTTCTTCCTCCTCCTCCT